CAGTCTCGACACGCACGTCTCAAGAGTAGAGCGGCGATGACCGATTGGTGCGTTGGGCCAGTGCCGTTGTGGTTATGGCCACATCGACCAGGCCTATTGCTGCCAGAGAGAACTCGTAGATCCAGGCACAGCCCGGACGTCTCTGGTCGGTCCGAACGACTTACACACCCACCCATACAGGCCGGCGATCGATGGATGGGATGGTGAATGTGGGTCGTCGTCGTCGCCGCTGCCTCGCTGTCGTCGTCCTGGGCGGCTGCTGTTGTTGTTGCTGCTGCTGCTGCTGCTGCTGCCAGTGGCCGCCTGTTGGGCAGCACCGGCTGCCTCGGCTCTCCGTCCGGATCAGCCCCTTCCGTACCCTGTCGCTGCCCCTGCCCCCTCCACCCTTCTTCTTCTTCTTCCTCAATGTCTCTCGTCCTGTGCACCATCATTTCGCGCACAGCTCTCCGCTGCCCGCAGCTACGAATGAGGCAGGGAACGGCAACAGCAGTGCCAGCAGCAGCTGTTTTGGACAATCGATCCACAATTCGCCTATATTCTCTGTTCCTGGAGGGCAGCTCCCACATCCCCTCTTCTCGTGTGTCTACGTACGTGTGTGTGTGTCTGTTTGCACATGTGTGTGTGTGTGTGTGCGTGTGTCTGTGCGTGTCTGGACGATCGTTTCGAGGTAGTGCACCAAGTGTGCGGAAAGGCGAGCACAAATTCACAAACAGAGCACGTGTCCTTGAAGATGTGTGGTTCTCGAAATCCATAAAAGCTGGCAGCATTGGGGAACACAGCAGCTGCGCGTCGGAATCTGCTAGGGACCGGACGATATGCGTGTGAGGGGCGAAGGACGAAAGCGCGCGAACTGCCGCCGCCTGTGGGTCCGCGAACTTAGACGTCTCGAAATATCCTGACGCACGAGAAGCAAAGGATTTGGTTGACGGCATCTGATATTTGTGCTTAGGCTGCTACATACTGTCATCCGACGAACAACGGTGCTTTTGTTCTGCTGCAGCAAATTGTTGAGGGGTCCGTCAAAACGAGATTTTTTTCCCATGTCACGATTGACTGTTCGTTGGATGATAAAATACAGTGCAGTTGCAGGTAAAAACTGAAATATTGCATTGCAAGTTCCCACTATGTTGGCGAAATTTCGAGGTCAAGTTCTTTTCCCTTAAGATGCACAAGAAATGAAAATTTATTTTGCTTTTCTGGGTTATGATCTTCGATATGCTCGCAAATCTCATATGCCTAAGTTTCATAGTCCTGGAACTCAATTATCATGAAAACTTAACAGACAATCACACATTTATTCACAAATACAACCGGATAAACGAAAGCATGGCATAATTCGAAGCATTAAATTTCGTATAACATTACCCAAAAACCCAAAAGCAGCTTCAGATGAGAAGTAGGTATCTGTCCTAACATTTATTTTGCCCAGACCACATTTCCCCCACTCCGTTTCCCTCCTTTTCTACCCGGTTGTCTAAATATTTCGGGAAAACGAAATCGATGTTAGGTTGTCCGAACCATCGTTTGAAGGAGAGGGAATCCCCTGGTTTGAAGCATTTGCCGAAGAAGATCAGACCTTTGAGTTTTCATGATAACATTTTGATAGTAGCAGCGTGAAGATGGCTTGCATGAAGCTGGCTTTTCAAAATGCTTTAGGTAAGAAATCGTCGGGAACCGCCGGCGTTGTCATGTCAGGAACAAGTACTGGTTGATTCAGTGTGCCCATAACGATAGTTTTGTTGCGTCCCGAATTTCTGTTAATGCGTACTGTTAATCGTTGACAAATTTGCAGGCTCACGAGCAAAGACAGCTGCTGGATTCACAACGGGGATTTGGATGGGAAGAGTGGCAGCGATTCGTCAGTGAGACAGCCAAGAAGGGCTGAAGTTCATTCCAAGTGCATGTGATCGCGTATGTTTCCTTACGTTTC